ATCTATCGATTCGATTCAAATGCTGGTCATATAAGAGTGATTCCCAAATGGATTCAATTCTATTCACTGGTTTTCATTTTTACTTTGGGAATTTTTTTTGCTGCTCTTTTAAAATTGAAATTTACTGTCAAAAAAATTTTATTTTTATTTTTTAAAAATAGAGTTTGTAAGAAATGTCAAAAAATTGTTTATAATAATAATAATAATAATGATCATCATAGTCATCCGTTGTTGACATTTTGTTGTCAATGTACTGGTCACTGAATTTAATTTGAAATTCATTTGGAATTTTATTCTTTGTGATCTGTTTACAATAGATTCGTTCTGAATGAAAAAAAAATCATTCAAACTCAATACAAAACATCCAGCCAGATCAATCAACAATCATCAAATATAATAATAATAATGATAATGATGGTCGATATTTGTTTGTTTGTCTGTTGTAGATATTTTCCCCATATATATGATAATTTAAAATGGTAAACATATGAAAGAAGAAAGAAAAAAAAATATTGGAACTTTGTTATGAGTGATGATAATAATAATGGATGTGTATGTAGGAAGAATTTTCAATTTACACAGCTTCCCAGCTATCATAGCATTTACTAATAACATTCAATTTTTTTTGAAATAGAATGGTTGAATGACAAAAAAAAACCTTGCCTTCTTTCAATTCTATATTAACAAGTAATATATACATTCTGTGTTTACATTCATTAAAGAATTTTTCAAACAGAAAAAGAATATAACAATGATAAAGTGATGTGTATACGCACTCCAAAGAAAAAAAAGAGAATCTGGTAATGTATTATTCCAGGTGTTAATTAACAGCTTTGACTTTTTTTATATCATTCATTTGTTTAGCTGCTTTTTTGTTTTGTTTTTGTTATGCCTCTTCAAAATGAGAATAAAACAAAACAAAACAGAAAAAAAGAGTAAAAAAAAATTCACTTTTGTAAATGATTCATTTGATCATTTGATTTTCTTTTTGTTTCTATTTTGGTATTCATTAAATTTCTCGTTTTCATTGTTTTTAGTCAGAAAAAGAAAGAAAAAGAAAAACAAGATTGTCCTATTCGTTCAAACCATTTATTGCAGTGTAGTATATTTGCTTATAAATTTCATTTGATATGCATGAGCTTGAATAATAATAATACCACATTTCTGTTATTTTTGCTAATCATCATTATCATATCACTTACAGTGCATAAAATAAAATGTCAATTTTCCAATATGAAAACAAAAACCTGGTGAGAATATTCTTGTTGTTGCTGCTGTTGTTGCTATCAGATCGAACAAAGCTGTAGGGAGAAAATTGGAATTGATATGAATTAATGACGAAGGAGACGACCTTTTTTTCGATTCAATCATCTCTAGTTGTTGTTGAGGTTCTAGCTTTTGGTTATTTTCACAATTCCCCCCCTCCTCAAATCGAAACACAGAAATAAAACCAAAAAAAAAGATTTTTTTTCATTATTTTTCCTATGTATAATTCTCAAGTGTTCGATGAATATAATTTAAACTAAAATATTTACCAAATTTTGTTTTATTTGTTTGTTTTCTGGTTCATCACCACCATCAATTCTTCTGTTTTTTTTTGGTTGATGTTTATTTGATTCAGAAACAAACAAACAAAAAACAAATTTTGGTTTTGTTTGCAAACAAACCAAAATAGAAACGAAAAAACCACCAAAATTGGGAAAAAAAACAAATCTACATTAAACATACAGCCAATATGTTTTTCATGTTCCAATTTTGTTCATTTTTCTCTCTCCCTCTCTTTAGTTTTTTAGTACATTCAAGTAGATTGATCTAATACAATAATAATAAACCTTAAGGCTAGGATTTTTTTTCTGCTGTTGTTCAACACACACATCCTAAACATATTTGGATGTTGTTTAGAATGAATATTACAACATCAATATATCATGATATGAATAAGATCAACCAACCAACCAACAAAATAGAGAAAAAGTTTATTTTTTTGTATGTTTTAACAAATTATTTGTTTGTTTGTTTGCTTGATTTTTGAAGCAGCAAAAGTCAGCATTTTTTTTTGTCAAGAGAAATAAGATTCTTGAAAGAAAAAACTCCAAAAAAATTTTCCAAAAGAATTGATATGAGATTTTTTTTAATAATAAAAGCTAATTATGTTGAATGAAAAGGAAAAACGACAAAATATGAAAACAAAACAAATAATAAAAAAAATTTGAAATTTAAATAAATGAAGAATCTTATTTGATTCAATGAAAAATCATTTTTTCCTTATTGTGTTAGACATGTGGTGGTGGTGGTGGGTGTATGAATGAATGAATGAATGAATGAGTGAATGTATTTGACAGCAAAACCCATCATGGAATAATATCCAAAACAATCCAAGATGAATAAATGTATTTTGCTTTTTGCTGTTTCGCTGCATCCATTTCATTCATTCATTCTTATCATTCAACTAAAAGCTAATTTCAAAATCGACCATCATATAATTCGAGTTTATTGAATTTTTTTCGTTTTGTTCTTCTTTCTTTCGAATCAATTTTCACACTTTTGTTGTTGGTTGGTTGGTTGGACCGGATCTATAATTGTTTGTTTTGTTGGAAGCACTCCAGTAAACGCATTGCCCACTAACTTTGTTTTTGTTTTCTTTAATATTTTTATCGGATTTTTTTAAAACATTAATATTTTCTTATTTTATAGTTTATAATAACAAAAACAGAAAATCCTGCTAAACAAACAAGCCGGGAAAAAATGAAAGGAAAAAGAAATATACATTTTAAACAACAAAACCAAGCTGCTATAATAAAAACAACAGCAGCAACAACAACAATCTTAAAAACGATAACCAAAAAAATAAAAAATGTTGTCTCCTGTCTCACTTTGGTTCTCTCTCTTTGTGTGTTTGAATTGATTAAGATGAATTCGAATCCATTATGAAAATGTCTTTTATTTTCTGTTTATTTTCTGTTTGTTACATTTTATTTCTCAAGAATTTTCTCCCACTTTATTCTGAATAGTTTGTTTTCAAAGAGAGAAAACAAAAAAAAACTTTGGTCCTATGTCATTTTATTCGCATTTTTTTTCGTTTTGACATTACTGTTTTTTTCTCGAAAAAAATAGCTTTTTTCTGGTGGTATATATAGTGGTATCATCAATTTGTTTCCATTCTCTCTTTTCTTCATTTTCAATCTCATTCAGGCTTTTGTTTTTTTTTCTTTGGTTTGAAAATTGGGAAACAAATGGAAATGAATTGGTTTGTCGATTGGTTGGTTCGTTGACTAGCTGATTCAATGGATGGATAGTTTGAATGAATGGAATAAATAAATGAAATAAATGATATAAAAGTTTTTGCAATTCTTTTCGTTCGAAACCAAGAATCTAACTGTGAAACAAAAAAACAAAACAGAAAAATCTTTCCATTTGTCCGACCATTAGAAGAGAAAATGATGAAACTTTATTTTGTCAAGAAGCAAAACCATAATATAAATAGAAAAAAAAACAAATTTATCAACATTACATTTTGATTTGATCATCATCATTATCATTATCGATTATCAATAGTTAAAATGTTTTTGAAATTCATATTTTCTTTATCATTGAATTCTAATCAAATGATTAGTAGTTGTTGTTGTTGTTTTCTGTTGTTTTTTGACTGAATTAATCAACATTGATTCGAATTATGTTTGGATCAATTGAACCATATAAACAAATAACCCAAAAAAAACGAACAAAATATTTATTCCATATTTCTATACACACTTGTCTTGCCTTTTTAATCCAACTATGTTTATTTTGTCGATTTTATTTAGCGTAAATAGTATAGCGGAATATATTTTATGTGAAGTCATTTTTTTTTGGCCAAGTTAAACATTAAACGAAGAAGAAAATTAGATGATAATTTATGGTTATGTTAAAGAACATTTCATTTCTTTTTTTTCTATCATCCGTTCATTCATTCATTCATTCATTCATTGAAGTAAGCAATGTAGAAAATAAATGAAAAGTGTGGTGTTTAGATTGATTTTCATTTATATCAGCCAAAATATTCAATATTTTTGTTTTTGTTTTTGTCGTCGATCTTCGAAAAAAAACGATTTAATTATTGCAAAAGTAATGAATAAATAAACAAAAAAAATTGCAATTCTTAATGTTGTTAAAGCAAGAAAGAAAAATACATTTTTTCCCTATAGATAAATTTAGATGTTTTTGTTTTTCTACATGGTTTTTCAAATCACATTTTCTACAAACAAAAAAAAACTACCATCATCGTTAACCCATCATAAAGTTATTTTTTAACCAAAGATTTACCAAACCGGATGATTGTTTTGGAACATTATTCTTGTTTGATTTGAAACAAATCTGACAAATTCTGTAAAGGAAAAAAACTAAGTGAGCCAAATGGCTAGTTGGTTGGTATATATGGCGATTCCGGGTCGTTTTATTCTTATAATGATTATTATTATTACTTTTTTACTGTTCCTTATTACTTTTTTACCATTAAAGTCATTATTATTAAATATCCATCTTATTTTTTTCAACTTTTCTTTTCTCTCTCTTACTTTATCTCCTATGAGAATACAACTTATTAGTATTGTGTTTTTTTTTCTTCTTTTTTTTAGGCTTTCAAGATGGACCTAGACATCATTTTCAATGTACATCATTGGATGTGGATCCTCATAAATTTTCATTTGTTTATGTTATATATTAACATCAACAATGATGATCATCAAGAATCCAAAAAAGCTTTGAAGACAGACAAAGTGGCCTCATCATTTCTTCTTTGTATTCTTATTTTTCGATTGTATTCTTTTCTTTTTAATTTCATAAAAAATTTATCAATTTTTTTTCATTCATTGTTCATATTATCATCATTATTTTTTTGACTTTTCAAACAAACTAACAAAAAAAAATTTTTTTGATATAAATCTGTCCTGGATAAATTCACCAATTTCAATCAAAAAACCATCTTCTATATATAATGGACAGACGTATATGTAAATACTAACCTGAATAACATTATTTTCCGATGTATTTGAATGTTTTGGAGCATTTAATCGACTAGTTGCACCATCTTCATCAGCATTATTATTATTATTATTGTTGTTATTATTTATATTATTATTATTATTATTATTATTATTGATAAGACGATTTTTTTGATGTTGTAAATGATGATGATTAGTTTGATTGGCCATTTGTTGTGTACGATAAATGAATTTTTCTTGTTTAATTGCTTCACGATAGATTTTATAATATGCTGATAACATTATACTACACGGTAACCAAAATGATATTGTTGATGATATTAATGCATATGGAATATTAACAACCCATTCACATTGATCTGAATATAATTTTCGTTGTTCCATTGCTTCAGCTGTAGTATAAATACCGGTAAATATTGGTATATAGGAGATCAATGCTGATAAAATCCAAACACAAGTTAACATTATTGCTACACGTTTACCGGTCACTTTCATTGGATAATCTAATGGTTTTATTATTGCATAATAACGATCATAACTAATACAAGATAGATGCATAATTGATGCTGTTGAAAATAATACATCACAACTATTCCAAAAATCGCACAAAAATTGATTAAATATCCATCTTTTACTGATAACAACTGATGCATTGAATGTCATTGCAAATAATGCAACTAATATATCAGCAAATGCTAATGATACGATAAAGTAATTGGTTGTAATTCGTAGACGATGATGCCTATATATGTAAACATAATAAATAAAAACAATATTATTAAAATGAGATTTATAATAATACAAACAAACAAATTAAATATCGTTATCTTTCTTTTTTTTCATTTTTTCTCTTTGTAATTCAATCTCAATTCCTGAACAACAATAGAAATTCATGAAAGACAACCAAAACAAAAAAATTGCCTTTCATTGAATGAAGATGATAAATTGAATTGAATTAAATTTTTCAAAATTAATAACATTGTATTTCTTAATGGTAGTAAAAATTGGGCTATTTTTAATGGGATATACATATTTTTTTCGGTTCAATATTATTTTTGTTCAATTCAATTTTCATTCAATAATATCATTATTATTGTTATCGCTTGCTATTTATTCGTGTAGGGTAAATGTCTATATATGTTTTCAGTGAACGATTTCAATCAATCCGGTCTGTATATGTTGATTTCCGATTCATGTCTATTCAATCAAACAAGCTGACGGTTACAACAAGAAAAAAAAAGGAAGAAAAAAGGAAAATACAATCACAACGCCGCTGTCTTTCATATACAATTGACAATTGACAATTGAAATAACCGAAAAAATAAAAAATAAAAATATCCCAAAATCAGAATCTCAATCTTATATCAAACAAACAGAAAACAGTCAAACAAGTACACGAAAGAAAGAGAGAAAAAAATAATGTCAGAAATATCCAATAATGAAAAAAAAAAGAAAAAAAAAGAATATATCCTTCAACCAAACATTATAATGAACTTGGATTCTGGTTCTTGTTGTTATTATTATTATTCTTCTACTATCATCATTCAAACAAGCAAACTATCAAACAAGCAATAAAAGTCATGCTCTAATTATTTGAATGTACCATATATATGTTTATTATTATTATTATTTACAGTCATTTCAATAGAAGATATATATATTTTGTCAATTGCTTCAATTCAATTCAATTCAATTTTATTTATTCGTTTATTCGTATGAATGAATTTAGATTGTTTGAATGATGATGATGATGAACGTGATCAAAAATTCTTGGTAAACATACATATGTACAGCAATATCATTTAATGATAAAGGAAATGAAAATTTCATATAGTAAAATATTGATGGGAAAGGAAACTTGTTTTTTTATAGAAATTTAAACGATATAGAATTGAAAAATAAACCACAAAATGACCATATGTAATTTCATTACTTACCGGAACACAGCAATAATAACAAGAAGATTACCAAATATGGCCGAAAAAATTATGGTACCCAATATTAAAAGTTTGAGCACAAAAATCACAATATCAATCCAATCACTAATCATTGGTTCAATTATTTCATTATTATCACTATTCATAATCATCATTGGTAATGAATTTGCTGTGGCTGTTGTTGTTGCTATTATTGAATTTGCCGACGATAACGATGATAGATTATGTGAAATTGAATTAATTGTTGTTGTAAACATTGCTGTGGCAGTATCTAAACTTGAATCAATCATATTTGATAATGATGGTAATAATGTTACCGGTGAATTTATGATAGATGATGGATCATTATTATCGATAAGATGATTGTACATAGTATTGCTTGATTTATGTAACAGAAAATAATCATCAGTATCATTATGTGAAGATAATATTGTTGTATTATTTAATTGAAAATTTGTTGGTGAAATTGTTGTTGCTGTTGCTGTTGCTGTTGTTGTTTGACTGAGATAAACAGTTGGAATAATACTTGCATTTAATGCTGTACGAAATATACGATCAATAATTGTTGATGGTAATAAACTAGATGATGATGATAAATATGATGTTTTTTGATGATGATTTTCATTTTCATTATTATGATAATTGCGATATTGATTATGATTATGATGAAAATTGATTGATGATGACGGTGAATGATCAGAATCACTTGTTGTTGAAAAATCAAAATTTTTTGAATTGATGAGCATTTTTTGTGGTCGATTCAATGAAATGGAATCTAAATTATCATCCAGAATAATTTCATTCATATTATTAATTAAATCATTATTATAATTTTTTACATTATTATCATCATCATCATCATCATCATCATTATTATTATTATTATCAATATTATGAATAATATTCATTGATTGAGATCGTTGTTTGTTGTTGTTATTATTATTTATTATAATTGGTCGCATAATTGTACGCATTAAACGTATTAAATGTCCATCTTCATTATTATCATCAACATCGTTATTTGAATATATCATATTTTCATTGTTATCTTCTAATATGGACGGTAAGAAATTGTTTGTATTATTTTTGAATAAATGTATAATAGTTCCTTCATCTTCAATTTCATCATATTCATTATTGATATTATTATTATCGTTGAAATTAATTTCATTATCATTCAAATTCATTTTGTTATTGTCCAAAATTTCATTATCATCAAAATCAATGTCACTAAAATCTTCATCATAATCATCAACATCATAATCATTGTTATGTTGTATGAATGAATCTATGGACGGTGATTGAACTGGTCGATTTTGATATAGATGTGAGGGTTTTCTATTTGATGATGATGATGAATATCGAAATAAACGATTAAATAGCGATTTTGGTATCAAATCTGTGAGCATATTCGACATTGCACCATCATTTTTATTATCATTGTTATAACTGTGATTTACAACATTATTTGGATTTTTGAAATTTTCACTTATTGTTGATAATGATGATGATGATATTGTTGGCTGTTTGGAAGCTTGACTGATATCTGAAATTTGACCAGAATTTAATGACGAAGTTGAAGAAGAAAAATCTGGATGATAATGATGTTGGTGGTGATGGTGATGATGATGATGATGATGATGAGGATGGAAATTATTTTTTGAAAAAGAAGAAAAAGTGGAAGAATCACCCGTTATAATATTTGAAGTTGAAGAAGTAACATGCGATGATGATGATGATGAAGAATTGACAAGATTGAGCGATATTCTTTGGATCCCAACATTTGGAGTAATAGAAGATTGAGTTAAAAATAACTCTTTGTCACTGATGTCACTGTTGATGCTATTATTATCATCATCCTCATCATCGTCATCAACATAAGAAATTTCAACATCGAAATCTTTTTCATCATCATCATCATCATCTCCGTTGAATGTTTTGGCCATAGGTAATGAAAATGTTGACAACGATAATGTTTTCATGTTATCCGTACTTATTCTTGGCATTGTCATCGACATTGAATTATTTATTGATGTTGATGTTGATGTTGATGATGAAGATAAAGATTTCGAAGCTCTTAAACGATTTGAATGTATCGATTTATTTGATTTCAATGATTTACTATTATGATATTGTTGATGATTAAGATTATGATTAAGATTTCTATGATTTTTTCGATTAAGGTCATGATGTTTATGGACGAACATTAATGAATTTGAATAATGTTTTGGATTATTATTATTCTCATCATTTTTTTCATTATCATCATTATTATTATTATTCAAACAATTCACACATTCATCACTATTGTTTAGGTCGATTTCATTATCATTATCAACATTGTTTTGAGCAATTAAAAGCTCAGGCTTTATTTGTTTATTATTATTATTATTATTCATTGTTGATGAAGATAAGATTCGCCGACGACGACGATGATTATTATTATTATGATTAACATTAACTTCATTAACAAATAACGAATAAGGATATGATGATGATGATGATGATGGTTGTTCAATAACTGTGGATTTATTTTTCATTTTTACTCTTTTCCATTTTGAAATCATTTTTGTTTTTGTTTTTACTTTAACTAAATTTGCCTCTACATTTGTATCTTCTATCATATTCATTGAATTTATGCCTGCCGACATATCGTTATCGACAAATGATTTTTTTGTTGTTGTTGTTGCCGTTGTTGTAGTCATAGTCGTCATCATCGTTGTTGTTGCTGCATCAATGTTTGAAGCATTTTGTTGATTCTTCTCTTTGATTTTATTCATTTTCGTCGACGTTGTTGATGATGATGATACATTGGTGGTTGTTAATGCATCTAAAAATGATATTCTAGTAGCAGCAGTGGTAGAATTATCCATAATTGTATGATTTGTTAAATTAAATGATTTGGCCATTGATGGTATTAATAATAACGATGATGTTGATGTTGATGGTGTTATCAAATTTGGCATTGCTAAAATCGTCGTTTTTAATGTTGAGGCTGAGATTCTTGATTTCAACAATTTTTCAATTGAAGTCGATGTTTGAACTGATGTTGATGATGATGATGCTGAACAGGCGAATGGTGAATCAAATAATGTGATTATAATTAATATGAATATTAATAAATAGGACCAAACATATTTAATATTTGATGATGATGATGAGCATGGACGTTGAAGTAATGATGATGATGATGATGATGATTTTAATGCTGTTGGACGTATGAATGTTGTTTCAAATGAATTAGAATTTTGATGTTCTTGATTATTGCCATAAAATTGACGACAAACATTTGAATTAATAATATTTTTATCAGGATTATTTGGATGATGATGATGATGATCGATGGAAGCAAATGTTGAAGATGATGTATTCGATGATGATGATGATGATGATGATGATGAGAATGAATTACGATGAATATTTTGGTTAGTTTTGTTATCTGTTGCGAATAAATTATATTCACTTTTTGATGTGGTTAAATTTGAAATTTTTGTCGATTTTGAATTTAATAATGTTGATGATGATGATCGAAATGAGGATAATGATTGAACAGACGACAATGATGATGATGATGACGATTCATTTACGTTAATTCCGTTGAATATATTCAATGGTGTTTCAAGAAATGTCAAAAATTTTGATGCAAAAGAATGTATTTGTTGTCGATCATCGTTGTTATGGTATCTTTTTTTGTTGTTGATAATATTGGCTATTGCCTTTGGCTTCAATAATTCGAATTTCAAATGTTGTTGTTGTTGTTGTTTCAATGAATGGAACGTGATTTTATTAAATTTTGGATTTTTCTCTTGTCTTTCATCACAGTCATCATCAATATTCTTATGATTGCAAAAAAATTGTTGTATATCATTTTTTGATAATGTCAATGTTTTGACAAATGTACAATTATCGTTATCTTTAAAGTTATCACCAAAATCATTTAGTTGTTTTAGAATGAACAATTTTTTGAAAAAATCAACACAAGAATCATTATTATTATTATTATTATTTGTTAATTGCAATGACGTTATCTGTTGTTTTTGTTTTTGTTGTTGATAATTTTTTTCACAAACAAAACAATAATAATCATTTTGAATGTAAACAGTTTTTCTTTGAAAATTAGGGAATTCCGAAAGCAATGTTAATTTTAGAAACAATGAAACTTCATCACCTATGATTCCGAATGTTGAATTGTTATTGTTATTATTATCAGAAAAACTTTCACAAAATACACAATCACAATAACAATCACTATGATAACAATAACAATTATTTGACAATATTAATGATAATTTATTTTCGATTATTTCATCAAATTGATCATTATCATTGATAATATAAAATTGTTTATTTAATTTAAAATTATTCTCATCAACATAATCATCATTATCATTATCATTGTTAAGGTTGTTTATCAATGTTGATGATGATGATGATTGTAAATGTTTTCTTCGTCGTCTACGACGATGATAATGTTGACGATGTTGGCGACAAAGTTTGTTTTCTATTCGTTTTTGTTGTTGTTGTTGACAAAATTCAAAATAATTATTTTCATGGTCATCATTTGAATCAATTTGATTATTATGATGAGAATTTAAATGTTCACATTGATTATTATTTGATGAAAAAATTTCCTGAGGCTTTTCAAAATATTTATTATTATTATTATTATCAATGTTAAGGATTCCTTTAAATCCTGTCATGATATAATAAACAGAATCGATAACATTTTGATGGGATTGGCCATCATCATCATCATCATGATAATCAATGATTTTATCATCATGTATCCATTGATTATCACAAATTTTATCATTATTATTTCTAACAAAATTTATCTGACATTTGAAAACTTTTTTAATCGTCTTCGTCGTTGTTATTGTTGTTGTTGCTGCTGCTGGTGGTATCGTGATTAATGATAGCGAATAAAATGACCGATCAAATTGAATGGGCGCCAAATTGATTGAATGGTTTGAATTTTGTTTTTGTTTAATTTTTTTCAAATAAACATTATGATGATTCTCATTCCATTCTATCCTATTCGTTGATTTTGATGATAATGATGATGATGATGATAACCTGCTACAATATCGATGATTATGATAATGATTTAGTTGATCATCAAAAATTGCTGAATTTTTCTTACAATATCCAAAATTTATGCCGCTACCGACTATAACATTGAATCGAATCTGATCATGATCATAATGATCATCATCAACAACAACAACAACAACATAATAATCATGATCATCATAGTCATTCAAGTAACTGAAATCAAATTTAGCGTCGGCGTCATTGACGGCGCCAAACTGATTCTGATATTTTTTATGATCATCGTAGCCGTATTTTTTGTGGTGTTGGTGGTGGTGGTGGCGGTTTTGGCTATGGTTTTGGTGTCGATGAATACCGAAATCTAATGTTGTAACTTTATTGTTGTATTCGTTGATGCTGCCATTATTCTGACTATCATTGCTGGAACAACAACTATAATTTATGCTTCTTCTTTTTCGTTTTCGTTTGTTTTGTCGAAATTGTGAATACGAATATTGTTCATATTTTTGTAGTGAATTTATAGTTACTGGTTTGATACTTTGATTATATGGATTCATTTTCGTGGGTGTATACAATAATAGTGTCGACAATAATGATAAATGGTTAATAGTAGAAGCATCGATA